GTCTGGAGGCATCACCTTCCCTGATTCCAAAGCTCTATTATAGAGCTATAGTCATGAAAACAGCTTGGTATTGGCACAAAAATTGATAAGAAGACCAGTGGAATCAAATTGAACACACTGATATTAACCCATGCATGTAAAAACATATATGTGTCAGGGAATCTTCTTCATGGTCTTGGTTCTCTAAACTAATAATTAGACTCTGCAATTTGTTACCTGATAAGCCTACGCCTCATTCATGTTCATGTATTCAAGTCCTGCAATATTCCAGGCTTTTCCAAAACCATTCATCCACATGCCTCCAACTCTACATATGAATTCTCAGGCTATAACATAGTTGCTCACTCATCTATTAAAATCTCACTGGTCCTGTGTTTCCTGAACCTATAATTCTCATTAATATACATCCAGTACAGTTTACTTAAAGTAGACTAACCCAGACTTGAATAGATACACAAGAAGGCATTGATGAAGACTATGATCAAGAAGTGTTCTGACACATGCATAGTGGAGTTTTACATTACAACAAAGGTGGACTTCTCTCTCAAAAGCAAGACTGGTTCAACATGTATCAGTCAGTTCATGCACCACTTAAATAAATACAAAGATTGAAATTGCAATTATTTCAAAAGATGCAGAAATGTCACTTGGCTAAGTTCAACATGCCATCATGAAAAAGGTTTTGAAATCTTTTTGAATTGATGTTATTTGTGCCTCAAAATAAGAAAGGTTTCATAGGGAAAGTAAAAAAATGCTGGGTGGTGGTGGAACATACTTTTAATCCAGCATTCAGGAGGTAGAGGCAGGAAGATCTTTGTGACTAAGGCCACGGAAACTTCAAAGATACACAGAGAAAGCCTGTCTCGAAAAAAATAACAAAGAGTTCAAATAACTTATAAAGGCAAGTCTATCAGACTAGCAACTGAATGATTGAAAGAAATATTTTAATTCAGACAGTCCTGTAAAGATGTATATCTAGTACTTATAGAGACATCTCTCAAACCACTTAATTGCATATAGGAAAACTATATGTAAAAATTAAATGAAAAATAAAACTTTTTCCCATAAATATGGTAAAAGAAACATAAGATCACTAAACCAGCTCCACAGAGAATATAGAATAATGGGATATTCAGCCTGAAGAAAAAATGCACTCACCATCACAGGAAATGAGGTAACAACTTCAGAAAATTTAATCCAGAGTTTTAAGAATACACCAGAAGCAACAAAATGAAGGAATTATTATACTTCTTCCAATAATATCTCAGTATTCATAGTCATCATATCATAATAAAATATTTCAAAGTAGAGGACTATATTAGAAAATGGGACCATTCTTCTTGTTGCCCTAAGAAACAGGCATCACCATCATGGCACACACTATCTTAGGTTAAAGGTTGGAAAAAGGTACACTATGCAAATGGTACTAAGGAACAAACAGTTGTAGCTTTAATGATATATGAAAGATATAAAGTCAACCTCAAACTATTTAAAAGACATAAAATGATTTCTTCACACTCATTAAGCAGACAGTCCAACCAAATATAATATTACAAATATATACAATATCCTATATAATATATACTGTTGCAATGAAAGTTGCAGTAAATTTCATAAAGCATATACCACTAGTAATAAAAACACAGATAGAAGTCAATGTAGTGACTGTGGATGAATAATTAACCTATTCTCACATATTTACAGTTCATATGAACAAATTACAGAGAAAACCATTGAAGTTTAATGTGATACACATGAAATAAATCCCACAAATATTTTCAAAACGTTTCACACCATAGTGACACTCGTAATTTGTAGATTAAGGTTAGCAGGAAGAACCTTGACACTGCCTCTTCATGTGAAAAAAAACAGTCAAATGCTAGGTTTCCATTGATTAATTCATTCTACTGTGAGCTATTCTGTCTTCATGGTGGCTGACATTGCCTTGGAATTATGTCATTTCTGCTGTGTAGCTTCCCAGGTAAGGCACATATATTTTAGGACCTAGTAGTATTCATCTTTGTCAGATCTTGTATCCTTCAAGGCCAGCATTCTAACTGCTACAGCATATGGGCTCATGGGACTTGTATGTGGTTAACTGAGAGGAACAGTCCCTCTGTAGAGTCAGGAAACAAACTTGCTGGCCCCTCTGCACCTGGTCCCCAGTCTATGCAGAATTAATTTATTTTGCCTTTTGCTTTTGCTGTCTCATGGCAGCAAATATTTAGTAATGCTATTTATCTTATGGAATTGATATCATTTGACACTCACAATATAAAGTGACAAACTGTGTCCCTGTGTTTATGGTGATGGATCATAGTCATCATTTTACGTTTCTCACTCCTTGTTGGGTTTCTATGAAATGTTTATAAATAGCTGTGAAGTCTATCAGCAATTCCTATTAGGGTGGGAAGATTGTCCTAGCAAACTTGTGTTATTGTGATAAACCATACCAGAAATAATAAGGAAGTTTTTGTAATACAGAAATTTATCTCTCCTTGAGAAAATCACACCTCTCCCTCTGAGGTGATCCGTGTGAACTATCATGTGCCCACCCAGTTCAAAATCAACAAGTAGCAAGCATTCATATCTGTCTTAAGTTACTTTTGAGAATTTCCCCAATATAATCGGTAAGGAATCACTCTTTCCCTTCTATGGCTAATATTTGAAAGAGTCCATGGTGCTGTAGACATTATGCACATAAGAAAGAGGAGAGCAAAGGAATGTAGGGCTTTCGAGGACAGGAACTTTATGTCAACTTTACCTGGCACAGGAGATAGTGTCTGAATATCACATTGCCTTCAGGGATAAGACAAGTACTTGAACCTAGGTCTTAGATCTTCTTGACAAATGCCCTCCAGTACATTTGATAGTGACTTTCAATGCAGAAGTCTGAAGCAGAAGATTTCCCCGCCTTCTGGTCAACCCCTGCCTTACAGATGAAGGAGGCAGGAGGGTTTATCATAAAGTCACTGATATTTCAAATATTATTTAAAATTTAATATAGGTTTGTATTTTTTAACGGAAATGGCCTAGGGTACTCAGGCTTGCCACAACACATTCCCATAGGATTACATTCATATTAAGCATATAAAATCCATATTTGTCATAGGGAAGGGATGTCTGCTAAAGAAACACCTAAAGTAAATTTTCTGAGCCAAAGGGACATGTCACTGACATCAAAACATTGAGATTTCCAAGTACCACAACATTTATGCGAAAAAAATTACTCTATAGAATGTGATACCATGAACAGACTGTGAGTAGTGATGGTTTATTCATGTAGTTCCATATCTGTAAAGGCTTTAGTGTAGGACAGGGAACTGAGAACAGGAATGCACAAAATAAGAGACTAGAAAATAATGCATAGTGTCAGAACTTATCTTCATTTAGCATGGACATGCTAAGAGGTATTATGTCAGTTTTGTGAAAACTCAATTAATACCAGTTTAAATCAATTTACAGAAATTATGCTGGCATGGAAATGCATAAAAATATCTCCTACATTCTCAAGGGCTAATGTCTTTGCTGGACATCCCAGACCAAATGAATAATATGCCTTGAGGCCACTTAAGAATTAGGAATGCTATAATATTATATATTTGGCCTGTTTCTTTAACTTACCTTTAAGAGAACAATGCAACATTCCACTTTACTTCAGACACTGCACAGTTATAAACTTAAGTTATGTGCTCTTCCACGATCCTGAATCAAGAGTATCTATTACATATGTGTGTTTATGTGTTGTGGCATTCATTTGATGTAAACACAAAATATCCATTTAAATATATCTTATATAATGAATACCCAGAATAGTTGAAGAAAGCAGTGAGGTATTGATGGAGTGATGTTTGTAGCACAGAAAGGAGACTGAGAGAAGGAGAGAGAGAGAGAGAGAGAGAGAGAGAGAGAGAGAGAGAGAGAGAGAGAGAGAGAGAGAGAGAGAGAGGGAGAGAGAGAGTATGTAGGAAGAGAAATGGAAATGGAGTTGGGGCAAGAGATTTAGACTCATATAAGAGCGATACAAGAATGAAAGAAGACACGGGGTGAACGATTCAGAGAACTCAAATTTGGGCTTTCTCTTGGTTAAAGGACACCAAGAGGAATTCTTTGATTTCATTCCTTGATGTGATGTAGTAGGATTACGGCTGAGTCTGAATTTATTGTGAATGTGTTTTGATCTATACATTTCAGAACCTTGTGAGAAGAATCACTAATGAATTATATCTACTCATTTGGTGCCGAGAGTTGGAAACATTTACTGTATTAGTGTGATATTTTGGGAGCCTTCATTGTTAGGGAAGGGTAGAGTGAAGATCCATTGTTGAGGATGTGAATTTTGCAAATACCTCTCATCAAAAGAAAACGGATCCTGGACATCTCCCAGAACTTCCTCCGTCATCTACCCGGGTGGTTGAGAGGTTCTGAAAAAAAGGGAAATTTAGACTTATTAGGTCAATGTAAACAGTACCTTGATCTAGGCCCTGAGGGCACCGTTCCTTATCTTTTTTTCTTCCTGTATCTACTCCAATTTGAATTTACCTCAACTCACATCAGAATGAAAGGACAGTGCTTTCTGTGGACAAAATAACACAACAGCATTCTTGCTTTGATCTTAAAATATTCTCACTACAGGGAATGATCAACTCTGCATTTTTTGCATTTGCACAGCAGAAAAAAACATTTTCTACTTAAGAGATATCTATAATTTATTGCCACAGTTTGTACTTTCAGTTCTATAAAAGCAAAATCATGTCAGTGGTAGTGTTCCCTTGTAATGAGCTGGTCACTGTATGATGTACTGTAGGAGCATCCTGAATCATCACCACTTTATCCCCACTGGTCCTTCTGAAAATATGGCCAAGACACTGTAGGACTCTGAGGAGGAAAAAGAGCAACGGATACTCAGAATCTTAATTTCTGAGTAAGTATCCATGCTGATCTTCTCTGTCATCTTAGTCACAGGGCAGCTTCCTGCTCCTCCGGGGTTTCTGGCACACTCAGGATGTGGTTGAAACACTGTGTTCTTGTCTTGCACAGTAATAGACTGCAGAGTCCTCAGATGTCAGGCTGCTGAGCTCCATGTAGGCTGTGCTGGAGGATGTGTCTGCAGTTAGTGTGGCCTTGTCCTGGAACTTCTCATTGTAGATAGTGTCACCATCTCTAGGAAATATCTTTCCAATCCACTCCATGCCCTGTTCAGGCTTCTCCTTCACCCAGGTAATGGAGTAGTAATCCGTGAAGGTGTAGCCTGAAGCCTGGCAGGACAACTTCATTGAGGCTCCAGGCCTCCCCAGTTCAGGCCCAGACTGTTGCAGCTGGACCTGGGAGTGCACACCTGTGGAGAGAAAGGCAAAGTGAATGTCACTGTCACATGAGTGTATGGCCCCTCCTCAAGTATGGAACTTGAAGCCCCTTACCAGTAGCTGCTGTCACCAGGAAGAGGATGATCCAGCTCCTTCCCATGGTCAGGACCTGTGTGGTGAGTGACTGTGGAGAGGACAGTGATCATATGGTGATGTTTGTGTGGACCTCCCTGTATTTACCACCATAGATTCATGTGATTTACATATTCATGGGCAGGCTACTTCTTAGAAAAATACCTAGTCCAGCTAGAGAAGGAGGAGGTAGAGTGTCCAGCAGCAGGATGCTGAGTTCTAATTCCTTATCCTTTCTGAGGAAGTAGTCAGTCATTCCTGAGGCCTGTGCAGACCCTATGGATAAAACATGAGGCTAACATCTCAATTTACAAATAGAATCCCAACCTGAGAAATTTGGTCCTCTTGGTGACAGGTGCTGTTAATTATTTTGTGTAGATATTTCAAAAGCTCCTAAGTCAGAAGGACTCAAAATCTACTTTCATACACAAGGAAATAATATTTGCCTTTCCATAAGATTGCAGCTGTGCGTTGAATGGTAAGGAGGTAGGAAGGACCAAGGAGAGTTTGTCAGTGAAAATGTGATCTGAAAATATTATTTAAAAAGATTTTCAACATTAAAGATAGATAAGTCTTAACAGACCAGAAAATAGAAATATGTACAATATTTGCCAAAAAAATTTATCGTTTGAAAATTGGAGACTTCAGATAACAACTAGAACGACTGTTTAAAAGGAGTACATGGAGGATATGGGTTCCCCTTTTCTTCTCTCATTTCTTTCCTGCTGATTTTTAGCTCCATTGTGACCCCCACTGGTACTTAGTGCCTCTGCAATCTGTTTGTCTTGGTTTACACTCCAGATTCACTGTGTAGCTTGAGGACTCACTCATTCATGCTACTTCAGTCCTCACACAGCTAAGCTTCAGAGAAAAAATAGTTGTTGATATCCTGGAGATACTAAACATATGTTTCAGACATTGATTTTAAGTAGTCCCTCTATTGTTACCAGTATTGCTTGGAATCAATCCTTGGGGGCAGATTCTACCCCCAAGGGGGCAGTTCCAGTACTACCCAGTGGTATTAGAATAACCAGAAAGAATCACAGCATGCAAAATCAATGAGTCTATTTAAAAATGAGCATCTTGTTCTGACTAGAGCATCATGTTTTACAAATAATCATGGAACTGATCTGGTTTATTTTGCTTTGAAAGACACATATCAGGGGTGTTCAGGGTACTGGGCCGTGAGAAACTGCATCTCTCTCTCTGTCAGTGAGCTTCAAGTCACATCTGTTTCTCTATTTCCCTGGAAATCTATGAAGCATGTAGAAGCTTCATATGACAAATTATCTTAAATATAAATTTTCATACCCTACCCTGTATAACATGCAAACAAATGTGTATCTTGGCAACTATCATGTGATTAATCCTAGCAACTACAATTTTATTCTACTTCTGACAAGTGTACAGTGGTCTGATTGTTGACAACAAACTTGTCACAGCATCAGTCTTGCTGTGTGCCCTCCATCCTGGCCTGATTAAAATTCAGTTCTCACTGACAATGCTTTTATTCATCAATCAGTACGATAAACATATTTACAGAATGGCATCTCTCAATGTTTCATCGTTTCTGTGTAAATAAAAAAAGTTTTATCTTTAACATTGTCAAATTACATGTATCAAAACAGTTATTAAGCAATAAGCATAATTACAAAATTTGGTCTATTAACATTTGGCAAAAGTTATAGAAAATATTCTATCATCTATCCTATCTTTGAATCTAAAGCCTTATATGTAACTTATTTTTATCATAACTAAGGAAAAATATAACCATAGCTATCTGTCTTCAACTCCATCAAACACCACAGAAGGATAGTGTATAGGCGCTATAATTGACAGGGACATCTGAATACCTGGACAGTCACCTGAAGTTGTGTCATGTTGGGGTATCCATCTTCAGCTCATAGGCCATAGTGTGTCTTACAGAATTATAAGTGAAACAGGAAATTTTTCAATGTCTGCCTGTATTGTGAGTCATTTTACTCTGTGACCTGTAGGATGCCTGGCAATCTCTTCCATGAAGCAGGAAACCTGTAGCAATTTCCCATCTTGTTTCTGCAGTCACTCTCCTTTGTGTCCTTCATACCCAGTTTCAAACAGCCCAGAAAAGAGCACTTCCTTGCCCAAATGGCTATTTCAGTCAAATCAAAGGCAAACTCCAAAACGAGTTTATTCGATGTCCATCTTCCTCTCTGAAGTAACTGGTGATATCAGAAGCCTTTGTGTTTCACTGTCATGAAAAACCTAAACCATTTTAAATACCATATTCTGAAGTTCTTTGAGAGGTTTGAAGAATGTCTATCGATATGAAACATATCTCTATATATCTAGAAAACCTAACTAATCTAACTATAAGTTTTGACTATTATAGATATCTATAAATATTCTGTACTTAATTATACATTTCATTTTTTTATTTATTTCTCAGTTTAAATTTAGATAAGAAGCAAGGTTGCTTCTCAAGTCAGTTACAGGTCCCTCTCCCTTTCCCTCCCTTCCTCTGGTGCCCTCCCCCAACCCCCCCCCGTTATCCCCTCATTTCCCCAGGGAGGGTGAGGCCCTCCATGGGGGTGTCCATAGTCTGTCATTTCATATAGGGCAGGGCCTAGACCCTTCCCCAAGAGTTCAGGGTGAGAGTGCACCTCACATTGTTGGATGGGAGTCCAAAGTCCGTGTGTATACTTGGGATGGGTACTGATCGGCTGCCCAAGGCTCAAGAGATTACCTAGGCCTCCTCACTGACACCCACATTCAGGGGGTCTTTATCAGTCCCATGCTGGATTCCCAGGCTGATGCCTGGGATTCAAGAGTTAACCTTTGTCAGTTCAGCTGTTTCTGGGGGGTTAAACCAGCCCAGTCTTAATCCCTTTGGTCATCAGTCCTCCCTCTCTGATACTGGCTTTCTTGAGTTCAGCTCAGTACTTAACCGAGGGAGTCTGCCTCTTCTTCGATCAGCCACTAAATGAAGTTTCTGTTTCCCAGACTCTCTGGCCATGGGATTGTAGGCTGGCACTTCCCAGATCTATGTCTAAAATCCATATATGAGAGAGTACATGCCATGTTTCTCTTTTTGTGCCTGAGTTGCCTCACTCAGGATGGTTTCTTCTAGTGTCATCCATTTGCCTCCGAATCTCAGGATTCCATTGTTTCTTTTCTGCTGAATAGTACTCCATTGTGTAAATGTACCACATTTTCTCTATCCACTCTTCAGTTGAGGGACATCTAGGTTGCTTCCAAGTTCTGGCTATTACAAATAATGCTGCTATGAACATAGTGGAACAGACATCTTTGTTGTATGAATGGGCATCTTTTGGATATATGCCTAAGAGTGGAGTTGCTGAGTCTTGTGGTAGGTTTATTCCCATTTTTCTGAAGAACCTCCATACTGATTTCCAAAGTGGCTGAACCAGTTGGCACTCCCACCAGCAATGGAGGAGGGTCCCCCTTTCACCACATCCTCTCCAGCATAAATTGTCTTTGGTGTTTTTGATTTTAGCCATTTTGACAGGAGTGAGATGGTATCTCAGAGTTGTTTTGATTTGCATTTCCCGGATGGCTAAGGATGTTGAGCACTTTCTCAAGTGCCTCTCAGCCATTTTAAACTCTTCTATTGAAAACTCTCTATTTAGTTTTGCAGCCCACGTTTTAATTGGGCCCTTTGATGTTTTGGAGACTCGCTTCTTGAGTTCTTTGTAAATTTTGGAGATCAACCCTCTATCAGATGTGGGATTAGTAAATATTTTTCCCATTCTGTGGGCTGCCGTTTTGTCTTGCTGTGTCCTTTGCCTTACAGAAGCTTCTCAGTTTCAGTAGGTCCCATTCATTAATTGTTGATCTCACTGTCTGTGCTAGTGGTGTTATGTTCAGGAAGTCGTCTCCTGTACCAATTCGTCCAAGGGTACCACCCACTTTCTCTTCTAAGAGGTCAGTGTGGCTGGATTTATGTTGAGGTCTTTGATCCATTTGGACTTAAGTTTTGTGCATGGTGATAAACATGGATCGATCCGCATTCTTCTACATGCCAGCCTCCAGTTATGCCAGCACCATTTGTTGAAGATGCTTTCTTTATTCCATTGTATATTTTTAGCTTCTTTGTCAAAGATCAGATGTTCATATGTGTGTGGGTTAATATCCGGGTTTTCAATTCAATTCCATTGGTCTACCTGTCTATTTTTGTGCCAAAAATACCTTGGGGTAACGCTAACCAAACAAGTAAAAGACCTGTATCACACGAACTTTGAATCTTTAAAGAAAGAAATTAAAGAAGCCCTCAGAAAATGGAAACATCTCCCATGCTCTTGGATAGGTAGGATCAATGTAGTAAAAATGGCAATCCTGCCAAAAGCAATCTACAGATTCAATGCAATCCCCATTAAAATCCCAGCACAATTCTTCACAGACCTTGAAAGAACAATAATCAATTTTGTATGGAAAAACAAAAGACCCAGGATAGCCAAAACAACCCTGTTCAACAAGGCAATGCCCGGAGGCATCACCATCCCTGACCTCAAGCTCTATTATAGAGCTATAGTCCTGAATACATTTCATTTTTAAATGAGCTATATAAATACAATACCTAAACAAGAGAATAAATATACATATAACAAAATTGATCTTAAATTTCTATCAGTAAGCCAAAATCCATACCAATGTAAAGTGTTCAATTTTATATCATATTCCCTTTTTCCCTTTAGAAAGAGATTAGTTGTGATCTTTATCCATTTTTAATCAGCCCCAGTTAAATACAAACAAACTTTAAAGCAATATTTGAGATTTTGGACGTTGTTCTCTACAAGCTGATACCTGCTGTTTGGGATTGTTAAAATACCATGGGGATCCTTAGAAAGCACAGAAACCTGGCCAAGCTCTTGTTGTAGAAGTCATGTGTCTAGCAAAAGAGAGAACACCTGAGAAAAATTCTGTTACCTAGAAGCCTTGCTTGTCTCTGTTCTGCCCTGACCAGCAGGGCACAAGGCAGTTTGAGCCCACAGGACCCTGGATTGTAAGGGACAAGAGATACAATAACAGACAACAAAACACGCTTTCTGATCAAGCTGCAATTTTTTATTTTCTCACAAGGATTATTATAGTCATTGAAGCAGGAAGCTTGACAGAGCAGGGGGGTGTTAGGTGAGAGAGGCTATTGCTTTGAAGCAGGGAGCTTGGTATTGGCAGGATATGTCCCAAGGACAAAAGTCTGTGGCTGGAGGAGTCGGGACTGTAGGCCAGGTGGCAGAGGGGTGGGAGAACCTGGACTGCATACCTTGATAGTATGCTGTACAGGAGGATAAACCGACACAGAGACATAGAAACTTAACTGTGTTAGTCTCTAACACAGTTCATCCAGTAGAAATCCATGGCATTCACATGCAGTCACAATCAGCAGAAGGAATGAGGAAGCAAACAGTGCCATGGCTGCACACCAGTGAGAACCCAGATCCAGCTTTGGTTTTTCAACATATGCTTGGGAGGAGCCTGAAAGATTTGCATTCCCTCACCAAGAGCTGATTCTGATGGAGGACTTAAATTTTGGGTCTTAGGGAGAGCCAGGCTGTGATGAGGTACAAAGTGTGACTCAAGGAAGTTCAAGTCTATTCCCCACAGAGACTGGGTAACACGTGAGACCAGGCTCTAGTACACACTTCTGGTACCTGGTGTGGGATGCAGCAAAAGTGAGAAAGACCCTCACTCTATATTGAAGGCTTCTGACTCTGTCACCCATCCAGTGGTGGGGTCATTAACCTTCATTTTTTCATTGAGAATGCATGAAGAGCTCAAAGATTCGATGTTTTTCCTACCTTCATTATGCACAGTGATTGGGGTCAGAGAATGCTTCCTATGTGAGTTCTACTGCAATTATTTTCCTCACAAAGTACAGAGATTGTAGACTTCTTGTATGGTGAACTAGTATATGCCATCTGCAGAACGGCAATTATGAACTCTGCAATTGCACTGAAGAGAGTGATGTTATATTGACTTTAATAATCTGTTAGTTTCCTGCCTTGAGTATTTTTGACTTTTGTGTATTCACTTTTCAATACCTTCATCTATTTACTTCATTCTATTTCTGTTGACTTTGAAAATAACAGCAGGAAACAGAAACCGTAGAGAGACCTTTTTTTACTCACTTATCTCAAATGCTAAGCATCTTGCAAGTGGGCACATCAGGACAGAGGATGCTGGAACTCATAGATCACATACCTCATGGATTTTCTTCACTGTTCAAAGATGTTCAAACAACATATATTCTTCTTTGTTGTTGTCAATACTGATGAACTTACAAAGATTATGATTTGGAGAGAGAGACCTAGGCAACTCTGCCCCAGACCACACCCATTTTGGGCGTGTCTACAGGTACATAGGTGTGGAATAAAAAGGGCAGAGAAGAGAAACACGCTCTCTGTTTTCCAGGATCTACTCGGGTCTTGGAAACCTGCTGAGACTAGACTAGGTTGCCAATTTCTCTTGTAAGTACTTTCTCATAATAAATAGTCACTTTTCCCTCATCAATAGTAACCTTATATTTCCTTGTCAATGATTTACCTAACTTTATACAGCAATAAGACAACAAAAGGAGATCAAGGGATACAAATAGGAAAAGAAGAAGTCAAGCTTTCACTATTTGCAGATGATGTAAGTGACACGAATAACTCCTCAAGGGAACTCCTAGAGCTGATAAATACCTTCAATAAAGTGGAAGGATACAAGGTTAACTAAAAAAAATCAGTGGCCCTATTATATACAGATGATGAAGTGGCTGAGAAATAAATCAGAGAAACATCATCCTAAAGAAGTTCAGACAAGTGTGCACTATGTAGTCCAAAAAGTAAATACATAAAGTTAATCCTACAAGACTTTATATAAATGTAGATGCTAATCACCCTGCCAATGAGAGATCAAAATGAGAAGACATTACTGTAAAATTGGAGCAGATTAACTCATCCATTCAGAACTTTTCACTGAACTGCTTTATGGCTTTGAAAATCCCAAGCCTGAGACATAGACAAATTAAGAGTTTATTTAGTGTATTTCCAGTCTGTGCTGTAGGAATGACTGGCTCTCCTCTATGCACCACTGTGCCATGTGAGAGGAGAAGCACTTCAAAGGGAACAACTGCTAGACAAAATGGAACTACCAATCCATTCTTCAGAAATTCTCAAGCACCATGATTGTGAACAGTTTTACTATTTCGTGATTCGTGTAAGCAAACAAATTATATGTTGATGATGTGAGTAAGGAGATTCCACATATTATCAGAGGAGGGCAGCATCCAGACATTCCTTTAGGTGATGTATAAAGTATGCTACCAGAGCCAGGATCTAATCTCATAAGATGCAATGTCATCCAGTCATTAGTAGATGGGTATGGAAAGAAAGGAATCAAAGTGATTCCCTTTGTAGCAATGAACATTAATCTTGGAAATCTCCATAGTAAGCTAAAACGCTTACAAATCCAACACTGCAGTAGGTTTGTAAACAGTAATGAATTGTTATGGGAGTGAGTCTGAACATCAGGACAGGTGCAGAGCATACACTCAGGACATTACACCAGAACAATGACTCTCATCCTTTAAACATGAGAAAAGACTGTGATGAAGCTAATCCCAGCTGACTTCCAGAGAGCTGTGAACAGATGGAGGTAGCGTGTACATCAGGATATAATATGAAACATTGTCAGAACTCATGTGTGAAGGACAGTGAGTGCTGTACTTATGAGGATGTCTCACCTTCTGTAACTTAGGGACACTGACTGTGAATGGGGAGAGTATTCATTTAATGTACTTTCTTCTAAATTCTTCCCAAGTGGCAAATATCATATAGTAGGCTAGGTATAACTAATATGACTAAATACCTTACTTTTTGGAAAAATATGCAGATAAAAGTGAGAGATGAAATCCTAACTGCAGTGAAGGACAGATTCTATGATTATCCAAAGCTTCTTCCTCTCACCTTTCCCTGAGCTGAAGGCTACACAGGGCAGTGTATCACACCTTGGAACCAGCTCTCCTACAGCAGAGCTACATGAGCGAAACACTGACAGGAAAATCAAGGCCTAAGATCTCAAGTCACAGACAACTATTCCAGCTGAGGAAACCCATCCTGACAATGGAAAGATGTTACAGATAGACTCACAGGTGCTGATGCTAAAGTCTGTGATGATGATGACTGGATGTCTGACACCTCATGTTTGAAAATGTGTGGCCTTCTTATATGTATGTCCAATGGATGCTTGTCCTTCCAATTAGATTCCTATGTAATCACTAAAATATATATGTGCAATATTACTTAACAATGAATTTTTACTCAACTGAATTTGGAGTCTTGTCACAGTAGCTACATCACGTGTATTATATGGTTTCTGCAGCAATTTGAGGTCAGAATAGGAAATCTTAGGCTCTCAGTGAACTCCCTCAATCTCAAGATGTTTCTTACACTTAGTACATTTTCTTTCCTGGTGAAAGTTGGGTTTATATCTCCCCGTGTTTGTCCTGAGCATCCTCAGATTGAGCACAAAATACCTGCTCATTGTGACTGCTGCAGTGTAATACAGAGCTGACTTAAGTGGTAGCATAGCTTTGGTAGCACCTATGTGGGTATCAGGTCTCATCTCTGCTTTTACCACAATCCACACCTCTATATCTACCTCAGTTTTTGTTGCATTTGTGTCCCAATAAGGAATGGTGAAGTGGTGCTTTTGTCTTTCAGTACACTAATATTCTCTGTATTTCCATTAATGGTGACACAAGTAAACTTATATATGGATGCTTTAGCTGTATATATGTCTCTGCAAATCTCAGGTTTATTTCAGTATATTTACTTGTATTTCTCTTCATTACTGTTAGAACCATATTTTAACATCTACAAAAGAATATTCCATCATCATGAACAGATGCATAGCCATGAGAATTATGAAAGATCATTGGCCAATAATGACTGTTAGGAAATAGGACACCAGTTTTCTCAGTGGTATAGTTAACAGGATATATATTATAGCTTGGTATAGCTCAGTGGCATGTTGACAACATTCCCACCCACACTCAGTCATGAAGTGCCAATTAAATTCTGTGGTCACAGATAAAACAATACACAGAGCTGGACACACTGAAGAAAAAATGTCATTCTCAAGAGAGAGGAAGGATGACAAAGGAAGGAGAGTGAGAGTGAATATAACTAAAATTAATTACACGAACTTATAAAACTGCAAAAAATAGGAAACTGAAGAAAAACAGTAGTTTATTGTCAGACAAAAAGTGCAGATCCTCTCTGGTTATGAGGTGAGCATCTATATAAAATGAGTCATGTCACATGTGAATTTATTCTGGAATTATATGCATAGTATTCAGTTGATAAATGAATTTTATGAAAAATAATTCAATAATATTTTTGATCAACTTGCAAGATTTACACATATGTGACACTGCATTTTGATATGAATATCTCTCATGTTCTATGAGACCGGAACTTCTGTTAGAGGACACAGACTGAGATAAAAAACGCACAATGAGATCACTTAAGAATATGAGTGGAGATTTGCTTTCATCAGACATTATTGCTGAAGATTTAAATGGTGAAAATCATACTATGTTGTATTCAAAACTACTCTATCCAAGCATCCAGTTTTTCAGAATCCAGACATATTTTTGTCAATGGACAGTATAACAGTTTTCTTTTATGCATTGCTTTTTTAAGGAAAAATTATGTATCAATGGAGGTGGTCAGTATGGAGATATTGTCTATATACGATGTATTATAGGGGTAAACACAATTCATATAAATTTATTCAAGTTAATATTTTAAAAATTAGACTTAAAACAATTGGAGCTACAAGGATGAGGAAAACAAAGTGATACTAGAAATGATTGTTTCTGAGCAAGTCCCCAGGCTGATCTTCTCTGTCATCTCAGCCCCACGAGAGCTTCCAGCTCATCCAGGGTTTCTGATACACTCAGGATGTGGTTGTAACACTGTGTCTTGCACAGTAATAGACTGCAGAGTCTTCAGATGTCAGGCTGCTGAGCTCCATGTAGAGTGTGCTGGAGGATTTGTCTGCAGTCAATGTGGCCTTGCCCTGGAATTTCTGATTGTAGTTAGTACTACCATCTTCTGGATCAATATCTCCAATCCACTCCAGGCCCTGTCCATGCTTCTGCTTCACCCAATTAAAGTAGTAATCAGTGAAGGTGATGCCAGAAACCTTGCATGACAGCTTCACTGAGGCTCCAGGCCTCACCAGCTGAGCACCAGACTGCTGCAACTGAAGCTGGGACTGGACACCTATGGAGAAAAAGGCAGAGTGTGTATCTTTGACTCCTCAGTCCCTGCTCCTTCTTCAGGTTTGGAATTGGAATGACCCTTACCTGTAGTTACTGATAAAAGGAAGACAATGATCCAGGTCCATCCCATGGTGAGGGTCAGTGTGCTCAGTGACTGTGGACAAGACGCTGATCATATGTTGTTGTTGGTGTGGTCCTCTCTGTATTTACCACCATAGGCTCAAGTAATTTGCATATTCATGAGCAGAGTACTTCTTAGATAAGATGCTGAAGAATTAGGTAGGGGACAGTTGGTTCAGGCAGCAGGATGCTGAGAGCCAAGTCCCAATCCTCATTGAGGATGTGGATAGCATCCTCTTTCCCTGGGCTCTCTGTAGATGGTGAGGATGTAACATCAGGACTTAAAGTCTCCATAGATTTCAGTGGCTCCAATATGTAACAAGATTATCAGATTGATTTACAAATGATGACTGTGATGATGATGACAATGATAAGAAATTTAAAACCTGCTGACTTTGAAACATGCAACCTCCTTTCAGATATTTGCAATTAATGTGTGACTTTCCAACAGATCATATACTAAAAACTCTCCCAAATAAACTAAAGCAAATACACTTTAGAAATATTTGCAAAATACTGATTATTGAAGCAAAATCACAATGAGTAAATTATGGAAACTGCATATTGGTCAACAGAGCTTCTTATCAAGAGCCATGTTTATCAATAGCTTGCTTCACACGTGAATCCCAGTACCCTCTCCCTCCCCTCCTCCCGCACCCCCCCTGGGTTCCCCCCTAGCCTCCCACCCTATCCCCACTTCCTTCCACATAGGGAATATCCAGAGTCTGTTTTTTCACTCATGTGAGGCAAGCTATTTAAAATTAACCTAATAAGAATGATCCAGGTTTATGTAAACAAAACTAAAGAAGGTTTTCATCCATAAGGAATATGTATCTTAACATCATTTATAGAAAAATGGATGCAGCTAGATATAAATGTATTAATACCTTATCAGAAATCAGACAATGAATGAGACTAAAGTCAGAAGCCTTTAGATATTCCATGCTTACATACAACTATGAATAGAAATACATAATGCAGTGTAAGTGAATTTGCCTAATAGAAAAAGGGTACAGTAGGCTAGGAAAGAAAATGAAGGGTAGAGATTATGGGAGAAAACAACATAGTATACGAAATACATGTGCATGAAATTTTTAAATTTTATTCTTTTTGAAATATAATTCCATGTATAAAATACAGCCTGATTATGTCTGTACCCACTATGCCCAACCGGTTCCTCTTGTCACCTTCCGATAAGTTGCTGTCCCTTTTCATGACCTCTTTGATTCATTAAATAGTGACACAATGAATCCAATCAGTTCTATCTATTTACAAATAGGTGGAGTATTTCACTAGTATACCAGAAAACTTCCAAAGACAACTGGCTCTACAAAAAAAGTGAATCCCATATAAGAAATCACCAGGAGTCTCCATAGTAAGCTTAAATTCTACAAAACCAACATTTGAGCTGACTGTTAGCTAGTAATGAAATTTTCTGTGAGTGAATCTGTACACAAGGACAGGTTCAGTAATACACCTTTGACATCACACCAGACTGAAAGATGCTCATCCTGTAAACAAGAGGAAGGACTGTGATGAAGCTTGTACAATCTGAGATCCAGAGTGCTGTGAACATATCTAGGCAAACCTTGCATCAGGATATGATATGGAACATTGTCAGAACTTACATGTGAAGAACAGTGGAGTGGTGCAGATATGAGGATACCTCTTCATTTTTTTTAGGACTACTGAGTGTGAATGGAGGCTATCTGAATTTAATGTACTTTATTCTAAACTCTTTTCCCAAGTCACAAAATCATATACAAGACTTGGTAATAACAAATTGACTGAAAACATTTCCTTTTAGAAAAAAATAATCACAGAAACATGAGAGATAAAATCCTAAATACAGTGAAGGACAGACTGTGTAATTATCCCCACCTTCTCCCTTTCTTCTTCCCCTGAGCTGGGGGCTGCACAGGGCAGTGTGTGTGTCACATCTTGGGACCAGGTCTTCTACAGCAGTGGTTCATGGACTCTACACTGCCTGGAACATCAAGGAAGGAGATCCCAGGTCACACTGAACTATTCCAGCTGAGAAAACTCCTCCCAGAGGACAGAAGCTACAGATGGAATTACAGATGCTGCTGCTGAAGGCTGTGATGAAGATGAATGGATGTCTGACAACTCATGTGAGAAAACGTGTGGCCTTCTTACATGTATGTCCAATGGATGCTTGTTCTGCCATTAAGGAAGCCACATGATGACTAAAACATATATGGGCAATATTACTTAATCCTTTTTACGCAACTAAATTTGGAGTCTTTTCACAGTAGTTACATCATGTGTCTTACATGGTCCCTGCAGTTATTTGAGGTTAGGACAGGAAAATTCAGAGTTTCAGAGGACTCACTCACTCTCCAGATGTTTCTTTTACCTACTACATTTGTCTTTCCTGGTGAAAGTTGGGTCTGCAGCTCCCCCTGCTGGTCATGAGCCTCCTCAGATTCAGGATGTTTCTGAGCACAGAAAACCTGCTCATTGTGTCTGCTGCAGTGTAATGCAGGCCTGTGTCTTCGGTGGTAGCAAAGCTGTGGTATCACCTGTGTGGGTGGCAGCTGTTATCTCTGTCTTTACCATAATCTACAGCAATTTTTTGTTGTGTTTGTGTTCCAATAAGTAATGTTGAAATGGTGCTTTAGGGTTTCAGTACAATAATATTGTCTCTATTTCCATGAATGGTGACACAAATGACCTCTTTTATGGATGCTATGACTGTATATATTTGTCTGCAAACCTCAGGTTCATATCAATATATTTACTTTTATTTCTGCCAATTAACATTATAAACTTATTTTAATAGATACCTAGGAATATTCCATTATTATACACAGAGGCAGAATCATGAGGCTTCTGAAAGATCACTGGCCAATAATGGCTGTTTGGAGATAGGGCACCAGTTTTCTCAGTGGTATAGTTATCAGGATGTATACTATATCTTGGTATAGCTCAGTGGCATGTTGACACCAATCCCACCAACACACAGTCATGAAGTGCTAATTAAGTTCAATGTGTAGCAGATAAAAGGAGACACAGAGTTAGGCACAATGAGGAAAAGAATGTCTTTCACAAGAGAGAGGCAGGATGAAAAAAGAAGGAAAGTGAGAGTTAATGTGACTAAAATTAATTACATAAAATTGCAAAGTAAAAAAATAGGAAATTGAAGGAAAAGAGTAATTTATTAGCAGAGAAAATGTAGATCCTTTCTGGATATGAGGTGAACATCTTTATAGAATGAGCCATATCATATGGGACGTTATTCTGGAATTTTATGCACACACACACACACACACACACACACAAACACACAGGGTTGATGGGTGAGGTTTTTTTTTGTTTTACGAGACAGGGTTTCTCTGTATTGTTTTGGAGGCTGTTAGTACAGTCCGGCCTCGAACTCACAGAGATCTGCCTGCCCGCCTGCCTCTGCCTCCCGAGTGCTGGGATTAAAGGCGTGCACCACCACCGCCCAGCTGATAGGTGAGTTTTATAAAAATAATTCAATAATACTTGTAACCAACTTTCAAGAATTACACTTATGTGACACTGCATTGTGATATGAATGACTCTTAAATTCTATGAGACTGGAACTTCTGCTACAGGACACATTCTGAGATTAAAAACACACAATCATAACACTTAAGACTATGAGAGGACTTTTACTTTCATCAGATTTTATTTCTGAAGATATAAGTGTTAAAAATCATACTATATTGTATTCAAAACTACTGTATCCAAACTTCCAGTCTTTCAGAATGCAGACATACTTTTGTCATGGTGCAGTATCACAGTTTTCCTTGGTGCATTGCTTTATTAAGGAAAAAAATTTCAATGGGTGTTGTCACTGTGGAGATATTGTCAAAATACAATGTATTATAATATTAGACACAATTCATGTCAATTTATTCAAAGTTATTATTTTGAAAGTTAGACTTATAATAGATAATGACACAATGATGAGGAAGACAAATAGAAACTAGGAATGATTATTTCTGAGTACGTCCCTAGGCTGATCTTCTCTGCCATCTCACTCCCAGGGCATCTTCCTTCTCCTTCATGGTTTCTGACACACTCAGGAAGTGGTTGCAACACTGTGTCTCTTGCACAATAATAGACTGCAGAATACTCATACATTAGGCTGCTAATCTCCATGTACACTGTGCTGGAGGATTTGTCTGCAGTCAGTGTGGCCTAGCTCTGGAACTTATGAATTTAGCTAGTACCACCATTTCCATCCAATCTACTCCAGGCTCTTCCCTGGCTTCTGTTTCATCCAGGCCACATATAGCTAGTGAAGGTGTAGCCTTAAGTCTTGCAGGACAGCTTCACTGAGACTCCCGGCTTCACCAGCTCAGCCCCAGATTGCTGCAACTGGACCTGGGAGTGAACACCTGTGGAGAGAAAGGCAGAGTAGATGCCACTGTCACCTGAGTGTGTGGCTCCTCCTCAGGTCTGTAACTTGGAGCCATTACCATTAGCTGCTGCCACAAAGAACAGGATGATCCAGCACCATCCATGGTGCGGACGTGTGTGCTCAGTAACTGTGGAGAGGACACTGATAATATGTTGTTGGAATTGTCGACATCCCTGTATTTACCACAATAGACTCACATGTTTTGCATATTTATGAACAGTGTACTTCTTAGATAAGGACCTAGTCCAGCTGGAGAAGGAGGTAGAGGAAACCTGGGTATGGTAGCTGGATGCTGAAGTCCAAATCCTCATTCTGTCTAAGAAAGGAGCCATTCCTGAGACTTGTGCAGACCCTGAGGGTATAGCATGAGCCTAGACTCTCAATTTGCATATAGAATACCAACCTGAGAAATTAGTCATTTCCCTAACAAATCACAGATGTTGATAGTGGTGAGGAAAATTGTGAAGGGAAATTTCAAAAACTCCTAAATTCGGAGAATTTCACTCTCCTCTCATATATAAGATATTGATATTTTCTTTTTCAGCATGTTGCAGGTATGTGTTCCTGGTGGCTTTTTCCTTTGTCTAAATTCTTTT